TTTATTTTTACATTTTTCGATCACAGCGCAATGTTTTCGTCGCGCTGTGATGACGTCAAATGCGCGCTTTCGTCGAGCACGATTTTGTCCTCCGCGATTTTGTGGTGAAACCCAATTTTATTCATGTATTTTTTAAATTTGACATTTATTGCAATTATATGTCTCTCTGCAGCTTACAAAATAATCTGATGCTTTATAATGTCTATGGTGTAATAACATAATAAAACTTAAATAACCAATGTTAATTTTAAAATTCCACAAAATATTTTTAAAAACCCAAATGCTCTTCTAAAGAACTCAGTTTTGACCAATTTGTGTGATTGTAGCAGATTCTTCTGGATTCTAGAACATCTTTCTTGAATAAGTTACGATTAGATGATTTCCTGGAGATGAAGACATCCATCAGTGTCTTTAAAAACCAAACTGAGTACTTTGAATTGGTCAAAATGGTATAAAAGGCATCTGTTTCTTCTTCTATGTGAACATGTCCTACCTGTTCTCTGGGATACACAGGGCAGACTGGAGGGAGGGATTTAGAATAAAACAGCAATGTTAGCAATGTACTTTGTAATTGCCCAGTTGTCTCTCTAGTCTAAATACATGGGTTAGAAAGAAGTCTTTCTTTAGAAATTCTTTTCATTACTTTCATTACATTAAAATTAGTCCTATTTTATTCATTTCCAGAGAGATATCTTGTCCAATTTTTCTTGTATTGCAGTGATTAAAAATAAATCAAACTAAAGAGATATAACATTAAACTTTAGAGACTGCAGTTTTGCATGATGAATAGCAATCACAAATAAATAGAATTTCACAACCTTTTTAGAAATGCAATTGACATTTCACTAAGAGGAATAGTTTATTCTGATCTTTCATGATTGTTGATTAGTAAATCCTTTGCTAAGTTATAAAAAAACAACATTATGACATTCATTTATTAAAGATTCAATTTAAAATCTCACTTTTAAAGAATAGTCATTTTGTGGTTGTTATAAAATATTCTGATAGATTAAAAAACTTCATCCTAATTTTTTTTATTGAGACTTAATATCAATTTTTAATTATATTGTGTAAAGTTTGTCCATTCATTATTTGCAGATGTGATATATAAAGGTTTCTCAAATACTGTGTTCTGGGGTTTGTAATAGTGCTGTCAGTGTAAATGTGGAGCAAAATAAACATAGGTTGTTGTAGAGTATAATTCCTGTTAACATTATTGTCCTGTTGTTTCTTTTTACTTATTAGTATCTGCTTCAGCTTGGATGGTTGTCTATAAACAAGTATGTCTACACCTGCCTTGCTATGAGATGTAGTGTATATAAGAAGGTTGGTTAGAATTTTGATATATTTCTGTTACAAATATATGCAGCCAGTTTTGTCATCATCATGTATTCTGTAATTTTTGTCTCTCATTCTTGTATTGTCAACAAGTTTTAACTTTTCTAGGATTGTGGCAAAAAAAAAGGAGAGGTGAGTGCTGATGTCACGATGTCACGACATGCGATCTTGGTGTTCCGAGATCGCAGTTGAATTTCTGCCGCTGGACCTAAACCTAAATAAATAAATAAATAAATTTAAAATAAACCTGCAGAGACAGTGATTGAGAAGGGCACCTCCTGCTTATCTCAGGGACACTGCAAAGTCCCTGAAAGATCCAGGAATAGCCCCCTTTTTTTTCCCAGCAACAGAAACACAGCTAATGAAGCTGCTGAAGTTGGGATAGCTCCAGAACGGGAAGAAAGTGAAAAGAGAAAGTGTGTCGAATTGGTGAGGAAATTTTATTATTAGAGGAAGAGACTACCCAAGAAAAAAATTAAGTTAAGTTAAGATTGAAGACAGAAGGCAGTGAGATTGATCTGCATTGAACTTAGTGTGTTATCCAGTTTCTAATTTTTTTTTCAAGGATGGAACTTTTGCAGGGGCTCCCTATTTTTTAAACTGAATGGATTAATTCTTTCTTCTTCTTTTTTCACTTTTGCTTATATCTATGGATTAAAATTTTCCTTCTTTTTTATAATGCTTGATTTGATTGATTTGATTGTTTTTGATCTCCATTTAAGGGTTTTTTTCTTTCTTAAGCTTGGAATATAAAGAAGATAATAAGAAGGATTATTAAAGAGGGTTGTAACAACAGGAGGAAAAGCAGTTACCCTGCCACTTAGAGACTGGAAGCTGGATACATTGTTTTTTCTTCCTTCTCTTTGATCACTTGAGATTCAAGGTTCTTTCAGTTTGTTTAGTGACAGTGATAGTAGGAAGAGTACAGGTTGTTTATACAGGTGCCTTTTGGACGTTCTATCACTTGCTATTGGAGGGAAGACAACATTTTGACTTGAAAGATAATAAATGAACCTGTTTGAAGTTTATTAAAATAGCCTTGAATCCTATAATGGCAGTGTCTGCAAAATTGAAAGAATGGCTCAGCAGGAAAAAGAAACTGTAACATTGCAAATGATTATGTTTGAAATTCAAAATCTATTATTTGTGACAGAGAGAATTGAAAAGAGATTGGAGAATATGGAATACAAAACAGAAAAATCTGATGGAGAAAATGAAGATGTTTACCAAATGAAGAAAGTGGAGGACAGAGTTCAAAAGATGGAAGAAAAAATGAGCAAAGAGATAAGAAAACTGTGGATACTGACAACAAAGTGAGCGTGATTGGTAATGGCAGGAGCAGAATATGGAAAGGGGAGATAGATGGATTGGAACTCTACCCCAGACTTCAAAGCACAAAAGAAGAAAATAGAGAAAAATTGAGGGAGATAAGGAGAGAAAT